TGTGGAGTCTCCTGGAGTTTATCAAGGTTTTAAATTGGCACAGTTTGTGGTTCCAGGCAGGTGGTAAAGTCGAGGAGTTCTCGGTGTCGTTGGTGAGTGAGCGGAAGACTAAGATAGGTTCGTCGGGTAGGTAGAGATCGGAGGAGGTGTCGATTACTAAGGCGTTCGGTGAGCTTGACGCCGATGATGTAGAAAGTGGCTTGGGGCTGGGAGACATTTTGTTGGTTTGTTGATAGGCGTCGATGGTAAATGGTGGTTGGGTCTGGGTGATGTGAAACGTGGGCTTGGGGCTGGGTTAGGAAAGGTATGGGGTGGGTGAGGCTTGCGATAAGGTTTTTCTGCCTTGAAGTGATGATAATCAAGGAAGCAGCCGTGGGTGAGGATGAAATCTGCTGTATTTTTTGAAGTTGTGACAACTTCATAAACGTGGAGGGTGAACCTGTTTTCTTAGACTGGATGCGGTGGACTGCGTGGATCGTGGAGTTTGTTGTAATTTTTAGGGCTTGATGTATTTCTTCTGGCGTAAAGGATAAATGAACGTTCCGGAGAAATACTGTGTGGAGACTGGCATTGCTTTTGGGGGGTTGGCATGTGACGGGAGGGTTTGAAGGCCAAGGGTGGCGAGGGTAGCGGAAGTCTTCGAGTGACTTGGGTTGGAGGAGTATGCCTCCCTTCCGTAGACGTCGGGTGCGTTCAGGGAATACTCGGGCTTGAGGTTTGTAGTGGCGGATGAAGTTAGCCGTGTTCCGCGGCAAGAAGTCGAGTGGTAGTCTGTCGATGATTATCGGCGGCGTGGGGTACGAGACAGACTGCATACGAGAGAATGATCGTCATCCAATCGTCTCCTATCATCATCTCTTCGACCAATCATCCCGTAGGCTTATATACTAAAAAAGGGGCGTACCGAATGCACTAGGAAATTCATGATCATACGCGGGGTTCCTCGACAAGTCATGATCCTTCTAGAAACTCCAGCGCGCATGCTTTATAGCGTCGCGTGACTTCCGCTGTCGTAACAATGTGATTCTTGGTGTGACGAAATGATAACAGAAAAAGGTTTGCGATAGACCGTAGATTCTAACTTACCTTTGTTTTTCTTAACTAATGAATCCAAAAACCATAAACTATTTTCTTCTTATTATTATTATTTTTTTTCGTGAGTAATTTGAATAGCAGGTTCAAGACTATTTAAGTAATTAGCCAAAACTAACAAGTTTTCTTTACCATGTCGCCACATCACGAACGTGTCATCGACACACCCAACCTATATTTGTGGTTTAAGTTTAACATTCTGTAAAGCATCAGTTTCAAACCTATCTATAAAAAGAAAATCACACAACAAGGGAAATAATGGAGAACCCATAGCTAAGCCTTCAATCTGTTTATAAATATTATTGTTAAATTGAAAAACAATATTCCATACAAGTTTTTGTTAAATTTATAATGTCTAAAATTTCAATGACTGACACATTATTCACTCGTAATTTGTCTTTAAAACAAATAACAGCTTTATCAATAGATATTTTCGTGAATAATGATACAATACCGAAATATACAAGTATATCATCATTATTTAGATTCACCTTACTTATTTTTTCCACAAATTCTATAGAGTTTTTAATGTTACAAGTGTTTTATCACTCAGGAAAGAATATTTAAATGGTAAAAATTTAGTTATGTTGTGAAAGAATTGAACCTATATTTGATACTATGGGTTCATAGGAATCTCCTATTTTGTGAACTTTTGAGAAAGCATAAAATCTTGGAATTACAAACTACTAGGAACCAAATGATCGTTTTCTTTGGGGAGTTGAGCTTGTACAGTCTTTAACTTTTCTTTAACCAATTCATGAAGTCTGTTAAGAGGATTGTTTTTACCCTTTTCATACATGTTTTCATTTAGCAAATCCTCAACATTCTTTAATGATTCTTAGTATAATCCTCCTTATTTTGGATGACTATTTGGATCATCTTTGCCAGCTTTACAAATTAAAATATCCAAATCGTTTAACGACTTTAGGACTTGTAATTTTTCATTCTTTTATTTCATTAGAGCTGAATGTAAAGAGTTAGTAAGTAGTTTTAAAATCAATGTGAATAAAAATGAAAATGTCTTTTACGACTGTTGATCTGTTTTTCAAATAAAATGTTAATTGTGTATTACACAACGTTCATCATTTGACTATATTTTAAGTATGAAACAATATGTTTAGAGGTCAAATTGTCCCTGTATAACAGTTTGTTTGTAGTTAAGCACAAAGTTACACAATGGGCTACCTGTATTCTGCCCACCAGTGGTATCGAAACCCGGTTTCTAGCATTGTAAGTTCGCAGACATACCGCTGTGCCACTTGAGGGTACCTGTACAACAGTTTGTAATTAAGCACAAAGCTACACAATGGGCTACCTGTGCTCTGCTCACCACAGGTATCGAAATCAGGTTTCTAGCATTGTAAGTTCGCAGATATACCACTGTGCCACTTGAGGGCACCTGTACAACAGAACCGTGACATATTGAAACCTAAAACGTAAACAATAAACTGTGTAACTTGGAAATTATAGTTGTTCATGATAAATTGTACTTATTCATTATAAAGTTTGTTCCCTCTGATGAAGTTCCTAAAGGTTTCTTTTCCGATACTAAACAGGATGAAATTCCTAAACATTCCCTTCCAGTGTACTAAACCAATAGGTGTTCCCAAACATTCCTTTACAGTACACCAAACAAAATGGCGTTCCTAAACATTCCCTTCCAGTATACTAAACCAATAGGTGTTCCCAAACATTCCTTCGCAGTACACCAAACAAAATGGCGTTCCTAAACATTCTCTTCCAGTATACTAAACCAAGAGGTGTTCCCAAACATTCCTTCGCAGTACACCAAACAAAATGGCGTTCCTAAACATTCTCTTCCAGTA